TATACTCGTAAGTTTTCTTTAAGTGAACTTTACATCATACTTTAAGTATACTACTATGTCCCTATTTAGGTATTAATGTGTATATATTTTGTTACATGAATATCTGAACATACAAAACATCAAAAGAAAAGGGTATCTGCTTGTAAACAAAAAACATTTATTCTAGCTTCATACATTATTTTTTTAAACACTTGAATGTGTATACTTTCCTATTTTTAGTTTAAAAGAAGTATACTAATAGCACACTTGAATAAACTTATTTTTCGTAAGGGTACGTCTGACGTTTTTCTTTAAAATTTGCATTTCTTTCTGGCTACTACGTATAGGTTTCCATGTAAGTACTGATACTTCTGAATGGGTTGAGGATGGGATTTTAGCGCATTTAAAGTGAAAGTACTTGATGAACATATACTATGTGTGGAGAACATTCACTCAGTATCATTATCTCATTTTTTGACCAAGATGGCTTTTAGAGGTTTTGCATTGGAACTCTTCATATATATTGTCTGTGGAAGGCGTAGGATCATAAAATGTATGACCAATAAGATTACTTGGTCTGAACATTATGATAAGCTGTCCTGCCTGCCTGCCTGCCTGTCAAAATATGTATTTGCATACCTCTGCGCACCCTGTTCACATGATACGCCATCAGCGTGTTCATTACGCTATGAAAGGCATTATTATTATTATAATATGCGCTTTGTGCTGTAATGTTTTACATGTGAATGAGACATGAGGTAATGCATTCAATCCTCAGCGTCCTCGTCGTGTCGCTGGTTAGCCTCTGGTCTTTCTGTGTGCGCTCATGTATTTTGGAGGAGGAGTGGCTTTGAAGAGTAATTAGCAGGGAAGGTGGGATCTTGCTTTCAAAGCTAGCTCGCTATTGCTAGCCTTTCCGAAATCACCCACCCATACCTTTAACAGTCAGTATTAATTGCATTCCAGACATAAGGTTGTTTTTAAATGTTACTGTACTGTATGTTCATTTATTTCTGTATTTATGATTTCAAATGTTTTTTTCTTACAATTATTTATATTATTTATATATATAATATATACAACACGTAAAACAAAATGTGCTTGGCATAGTAATATCACGGGGGTATGGTGGTCACACTGAATGGCATGGACTACAGGCCATTTAAACTGAGTATTGCACTGTAAAAAATAACGTAAACGTAGGCTACTAAAGGAACGTAAAATTAAGATGAGTATGTTTAAGAGGTAACTTTTTTTTTCTTACCAAATATAAAATTATTTTAGATGCAATTTAATAATATGAATATGATTTAAGTATTTTTGTTTAGTGCATTCAAGTATACTTTTTTTCACCTGTGGACTGGAGGGCCACAGCTCTGCAGGGTTTAGCTCCAACTAGCTCCAACTCATACAGGTGCATCTCAATAAATTAGAATGAACTACTTCAGTCTGTGTGCATTGAATTTATTTAATACACGAGTTTCACAATTTGCGTTGAATTACTGAAATAAATGAACTTTTTCACGACATTCTAATTTATTGAGATGCACCTGTACCTGCTTGGAAGTTTCTAGTGATCCTGAAGACCTTGATTAGCTGAATCAGGTGTGTTTGATTACGGTTGGAGCTAAACTGTGCAGAGCTGTTGCCCTCCTGCCCAAAAGCAAACATAATAGGAAATTGCATGGCTTTCTGAACTAAAATTATTCCGGATACAAACAGAATGAGCCTAAAATAAAAATGGACATTATCAACATTGTTGATAATAGGAAGAATGTGTTTAATCAATCATTACTTGAAGCAAATAGAAAAATTAAGTAAAAGTTAATCTGAATGAGACAGATGTCTCTCTTTACTTACTTACAAGAGATGAAGAGATGCAAAGTGGCCGGTTGCAAAAGTATATCTTGCATTTCAGAGGTGTAAAGAGTACCTGAAAACCATACTTGAGTAAAAGTACAAATACCTCGCAGTGAAAATTACAAGTCACCAATTCCAAAACAACTTGAGTATAAAGTTGAGTAAAAACTTGAGTATTTTACTCCTACTGAATACAGGCTCAAACATGCAGTAGTCATCAACACCTACAGTGATTGCAATAAAGTGGGCCATTTAAGCTTGATTGTACTGTGCTCAATGGGTTTACACTTTCAGAGCATAAAAATAGTCTTTTTTTGATGAATATGACACTGGTGGGTGTGGCCACACCTTAAAGGAGGACTCAAAACCCTTTGAAATAAGGATTTTTATTCCTAACTTAAAAGGTTGATCACTAAATTTAAACAAATATTATTCTGGCTGAATGTGTTAGATAAAGCGGGCCAGTAAGGTGACCTTTAACCTTAGTAAGTAATTATGCTCAAATTCATTAAATTAATTAACATCCACTGATTATTTTATAGTTGACAAGTATAACCTACTTTTTTAGAAAACAGAAATGAGTGTGCAGTTAGGAAATTCAAATCAGAGATAGAAGAAAAAACAGAGACAATAGAAAGGCGATGAGGCATGAAGTTCAATCTGTGAAGTAAAGAAAGGATGAGAGGAGCAAAATGTAGATGCAGAATATAAAGCTTTTAAATATGGACACAATTACAGTTAATTTAAAGTGTTTAGAAAACAGACAACCTATTTGACAAGTTTGGGTGAGTAAGGGCAAAACGCACAAGATATAGTACCTTCAATGCCCTGTAGTTGGCGATTTCACTTCTTTTGTAAAGCAGAAATAAACTGCTGCAGGAAAAAGGTGCTACGTAAAATGTAACTAGTAATTGCAGAAACCTATTCAAAAATGTAGTCAAGTAGAGAGTAAAAGTTGCTAATATCTTTAATACTCAGTAAAACTACAAAGTAGCTACAATGCTACTTAAGTACAGTAACTAATTGCATTTATTCCAATACTTTACACCTGTTGCATTTGCATGGAAGAGTAGAAGTGGAAGAGAAACTAGATGTTCTTATGAAAAACAATTAAGAACAAGTTAAAAATGTATATCAGATTCATGTCTCTCTTAAAAGTGTCATTGCCTCTTCTTCAGCCCCCTGAACTATGCCTTGAAAGGTTTCCAGTGTGAATTTTCTGGTGCTCTTTCAGTTCATCTTCTGTAGTAAAGGACTTTCTGCGCTTAAACACACACCGCCGTGTCTTTTCTGCTGTAATATAATGAATGAGTCTTCTCCTTTGTTAATCCTCAGGTGTTTCTTCGCCTCTTTTTACACTGAGGGCAGCTCACAATTTTCTTCTTCTTCCGTTTTTCCTTGTTCACATCCATCAGGTCTAAAAGAAACATTAAATCAAGTGAGATTTCAAATCAGAGCCAAACTTGAAATGAAAGGTGATGAAAACTAGAACTCAACCGATATGGGTATTTTGGGGGCGATGCGGATTCCAATATTAGGAAGTAAAAAAAATCCGATATTCTGATATTCTTTATGTGTATATTATAGTACAGTACCAGTCAAAAGTTTGAACACATCCCATTCGTGTGTCCAAACTTTTGACTGGTACTGTATGTAGAATACAGTATATACATAAACAGAATATAAACACATTTTTAGCAATGATAACTCAAATGTGGTTATCAAACACTTATAATAGCTATGTTTCCATCCAAAGATGCAAATTTAACTTATGCGCAAAACTGGAATATTGCATAAAACATCTGCAAATAAAGCACCTTTCCATCCAATGAGTCAAAGAGAACAAAATCATCACTTCCTGATAAACTGGCACTAAATATCTCAAAGATGCCTGCTGTTTGGGAACGCAGTAATGGAAGACCGTAATTATACAGAAATACTTTGATGACAGTTCCTCAGGCATTTCAGAATGACCAAAACAACATATAGATGATGTGATTCCTGATAAACTGGCACTAAATATCTCAAAGATGCCTGCTGTTTGGGAACGCAGTAATGGAAGACCGTAATTATACAGAAATACTTTGATGACAGTTCCTCAGGCATTTCAGAATGACCAAAACAACATATAGATGCTGTGAACGAGATCGGTCCGCTGCTAGTCAAGTTATCCCGTCTCATAGCTCAAAGTCACATGACTTTTTCAATGCGCATGGTGGAATTTATTTGGTAAATGTGTTTCCATCATAGTTTATGAGCATTTTTTCTTATCAGATAAAAAGTTTATCCTACTCAATTGTGCGCATAAGTTTTTTAGAATTTATGCACATCTTGGCGTTTCCATCCAGCGTTTTTTATGCGATATTCCAAACTGCGCATAAACATAGGTGGATGGAAACATATGTTATGATGTGACGGTATGAGATTTTCATGGTATGATAATAGTCTCCGAAAATATCACGGTTATCATGGTATATATTAAACTATTCTTATCAGTAACAATGACTCTTAAAAGAACAAGAACAAGTTATTTGAGTGATCAAATTCAATTCAAACCGTGATAAACCGTCATACCTAGTGTTGTCAAAAGACCCGGTACTTCGGTACCAAGTCGGTACTAAAAAAATGAAAACGTTACGGTACCAGGTTTTTTTAAGTATCGGTGGTTCCGAGTACCCGGTCAACCCGGTTCTTGATGCGCTATCCGAAAGGTGCACAGATGCGCTCTCTTCATAAAAGCACTGAGACATGGCGACCTCAAAATGAGGAAACACATCAAACTAACAAAACACTTTAAAGACAGACACCCGGATCAAATTAAAGAGTTCAAGCAGGTAAGTTTAATTTTCAATATTTAGATCTTCTCAGTTGGCGGCCCGCCACAATATCAAAACTGACCGCCACAAATAGATTTTCCATTTGACTTCGTTGAATAAACATGAGCACTGCACGTGTCAAAGTCGAAACCCGGTGCGGGTGTTTTTATATCACTGTATTTCTGAAGGAAACCGACTGTCTTCAGAAAATTATGGATGTCATTTTCATTT